CCAACATCAACATCTCGATTCGGGACGAGAACGAACCCATTGTCAATTTCACTTCCTCGGACACTGGGCTCCTGGTCATCGTCTGGCATTATGGCATTTCCCGGTTGTGTGCATGTTATTAATTTCCGATTGCACTCCCATGTCGGGGTGCACGGTACCAGTGACACATATGAGCTCTACACTTACTACGCGGAGTACCGATCATAGATCCGGACGAACGTATTCCTCATCAACAGATAAAAAGAGGGAGCGCGTCGTAACCAAGAGGCCATTCAACACTCCGGAGAAGAAAAACTTTCTCAAGAATGAGAATTTGTTTATCGAATTAATATTCACGCGGATTTAAAAGATTGAACATGTGCCTACCATTTCCGGCAGGAAATCATAGTCGCCTGGTTTGGCTAGCCAGCAAATTAGCGTTTTAGTAAATAGATAGGTTCTCTTCCCGTTCATGTCATGATTCTCCTAGCAGTCTCGTATTAGTTGTAATGGCTATCCGACAATTGTGCATGTTGGCTAGTTGACTTACTAGCTATATCAATCTTAGTAAGTCTGACTATGATTGAGTAGAATTTCCAGCCTTACTTATCGACTAATTCCTCCATGTATCGCAGTTTTATCTTGACCGATAAGCGAAGCAGGAAGAAGTACACTCGGCAAATCTCGGCTTGGCACCCGATCACACGAATATTGGCGGTTTTTGCGAGGGTGCTTTTCTGCCAACGCCAACGTTGGCTTATCTGCGGGGGAACGACCCACAATATGCGGTTTTGGGAAAGCCTAAGCTTGTTGATCAAGACCGCATTCAGCTGCCGCACTTTGACTGAAAATGCGGGGGATCCGAGATGCATTAATCGTCTTCTGTGCCTCTGTATTGGCCCCGACGTCATTGGCTACGCTGGTTCCCAGCACCTGTTATAAAGGGGTCACCATGGCCTTCTCGATGTGCTGGAATCTTCCTTTTCCTCTCCAGGAAGAATTCAGCAACCCTCTTTCGATATGGACGCCGACAAAAAAGATATTGAGGATGTGCCGCAGCAACCCGAATACGTTCATGACGATGTGTTCGGGGAGATCTCGGAGCACGGTCCCAACTTTCGCAATGTTTATCCAAGCATATCTCATTAAAGAAAAAAGTCACAAAAGCTGATTGATTCTACTAGGTCACGTTCATAGGAACCGTCATCCTCATGATGAAGACGCAGATTGGCTTGGGCGTCCTCGCCATCCCATCCGCTCTGGATGTTCTGGGCATGGTCCCGGGCATTATTTGTCTGTTTATAGTCTACTGCATCACTACTTGGTCTGGCTATATTGTTGGCACTTTCAAGATCAACCACCGTGAGGTGTACAGCATTGACGATGCCGGTGCACTCATGTTTGGCCCGGTGGGCCGTTGGGCCCTTTCAGCCGCATTTTGCCTTTGTACGTGACCCCATCAAGTAGTCGAAGTAATATAACGCCAATAGTAGTTACTAACCATTTGCAGATTACATCTTTACCAGCGGTTCTGCAATTCTCGGTCTTTCCATTGGCTTGAACGCTGTGTCTACCCATGCAACATGCACGGCCGTCTTCACCGCCGTTGCAGCCATCGTCGGTTTCTGCTTCTGTAGTATCCGAACGTTAGGTCGCATCACCACCGTTGCATGGGTGGGCCTACCATGTATTCTTACTGCCGGTACTTGCCCCATCGACACGTCCTATGCACGATACACTGACTTTACACAGTGATTATTGTTACTGTCGGAGTCGGTATAGAGGACCGCCCCGCTGACGCGCCCAAAACGGACGGTCCCTGGGTTTCCGACTGGGTGGCCGTCGGTCATCCCAGTTTTGCGGATGGCATTGCTGCAGTATCGAACCTGCTATTCTCCTTTACAGGGATTCCGGGTGAGCTAAACCCATCTGGTTGTTTCTTCCCCGTATGCTACCTTACACTAATATCCACGACCTCCAGGGTTCTTTTCCATCGTTTGTGAAATGCGCGACCCCCACCAGTACACCAAAGCCGTGCTCATAAGCCAAACCGGAGTCCTCGCCGTATACTCCATAATCGGCGGAGTTGTCTACTACTACTGCGGTACCTACGTTTCTTCACCGGCCCTTGGTTCAGCCGGTGGAGTTGTGAAGATCATCAGCTATGCATTTGCACTACCCGGGCTCTTAGCCACTCTGACAATCATTGCACATGTAAGCCAAGAACAACCAGAAAAAGTAGCCCAATTGTAACATCAACCTCTATATGCTGACTATCACCTTTTGTCAAAACACTAAAGGTCCCCGCAAAATTCATCTTCGTCAATATCCTCCGCGGTTCGCGCCACCTCACCAGCAACTCGCCCACGCACTGGATAACGTGGCTGAGCTGTACCTTCGGAATAATCGTGATCGCGTGGATCATTGCCAGCACAATACCTGTCTTCGATGCGTTGGTTTCTCTCATTGGTGCCTTACTTGGCCCGCTTATTTGCATTCAACCGATGGGTGCTATGTGGCTGTACGATAACTGGAGGAAGGGGAAGGATGCAGCGCGTTTGTCGAAAAGCTGGATGTTCCAAGTGGTGTGGAGCGTGTTGATGATACTCATCGGGTCTTTTATGATGGTTGGGGGAACTTACGGGTCCGTTGAGTACATCATGGCTTCTTATGCTGAGAGTGGAGGGTCTGCTGCTTTTTCTTGTGCTGATAACTCCAATTCTGTTTGATTGGTCGGTTTGACCCATGAGTAAGCTAAAGCCAGTGTCAGGCGACGAGATATGTGTAAAGGATGAATATACCATGAACTCCAGATAGATATACAGATATTACGAATGTACTTGAACTTCGTATTTACTAGCTGTTTATCAAAGATCGCCGACCTCAAGAAAAGACTGGCACCTATTCCAAGTTTTCTCTGCTCTTCAAGGACCTAGTTCTTTGCGAGCCGCTAAGGTCATACACAGTCGGTTTTCGGACCAGATTTGCATGGCGGAGAGAGCAAGTCCGAGGTTTGACAGCTCTGCGTCGGTATGGCCTCGACCCCTCGCGTGTGCAATCAATAACCAGTATTCTTGTTGCAAGGGCTTCTGGCTTGAATGAAACAGTCTCACGATATATTCGAGCATAAGGAGGTCAAATAAAGATCAATTAGGGGATCTAATTCAGTCTATAGGTCTTGGAACCAGGATGACATCTTAATGGAAATGTAAGCATTGCTGCTATCACCTCGGGAGTTAAACAAGGAGGGATCTGTGAGGCTGCCTTCTCAGGTTTCAATTCAGTAGAAGGTGACGACTTTGCCAATGGAAACATATCTTAATCTTGTCTGCCTCTCTATTGTTTTGATATGGATATTTGCCAGATAAGGAATAGTCGATTGTACATTAAGCCCACAGAGTAACAAACTTTCTTAATACAACTCCTCCATGCCTCCACCCACTACTCAAGGTGCTAAAGAGGATTCATCCGTCGACCATTGCGTCTCAATGCTGGAAACTCATGCGTCCGGAGTCGCTGCGGAAAGATCCAATAATGTCTTGTATCGTAGGCCCATTTGGTCATAAAGTTAGCAGAATATAGCCAGAAAATCTGCTGTGCCGCAGGTACCGTGACCCTTCTACTTAGTAGTAATGCACAGGCACTGGAGTCAAATTCTCGAGAATGATACACTCCCTGACTAGGTTCATCGACAACTTATCACAATTTCAGACTACATTTAACATGTTCGATTACGTTGAGATATCTCAGAATTGATATGGCGCCATATCAGCCAGCTGGACAGATTAAGCTATGAGAGTAGACTGGTAAATTCCTGCTTTGTGTTAAGGGAGAGGACGGCAGGGAAAACCATATGGAAGGTATATTCCAGAGAATGCAAAGAACATGAAGGCCACAAAAGGTTACGTACTCATCTATTCCCTACAATTGGCACTTACAAATTCAAGACTCTAATATATCATTATGAGCCGGAACTTTGCGAGGGGCCTCCACAAGGCCTCTCCTTCTCTGATGCAATTTACTGGGGCTCCTCTTGAAGAATGATAATCACCAATGGCACCATAGAAGATCCTGTATGGATCGAGGCAACGAAGTCTGTCTGCAATGTAATTGAAAAATCAGTAAGATGGTTTAATAACAAGCCCAGAATAGCTGGCGCTGATCTTCTAGGTTCCAGAGATCACTACGGCATAATTCAGAAGGCATCACCATCCTTCAATTAGACCTGTCTTCTAGTTTTATCGCATAGAGGCTCCAAGGCTCACCTTTCTTCTAACGATAGAGAAGATCAAAGCCTTATTGTCACAGTGGGACTGAAGACTAATGCAGGAACTCGTATTGGTACAATCCATATCCACCAGGACAAGACGTGGAAATTCCTCGCTTCTCGTGAAGGGAGAGAGGGTGGGTTTGCGGAAATTATTGCACGGGCTGGCATTGCAGGGTTTATTAACAGCTAGGCATAGTGCTTCTTCCATCCGTGTTTGAGCAAGGAATTCGATTGCGGATGTTGGGAGACTATAACAATCAATGTTTTGTATGTCACATTTTATCCGTAGTCGGGAGGTAGTATGTACAGGAACACCCCGTACATCAGGTAGATTTATTAGTGGGACTTAGGAGGTGAACTTCCTCTAAATTCAGCGCACTCCACAAAATGCAGATGAATAATGGTGAAATTTTGCCTATGCCATAAGTTCCACGTGATGCTCCAGAGGTTTCCACGATCTCACCTAGGGACTGTATACCTCCAGCTTCTTCTGGAGAGTGATTAAATACCATAGTCATATCTCATTCCCTTTCAGCTGCACCTTTGCTATTCTCAATTCCTTTCTTTTGAATTGAGGGTCCTAATGTACCGGTCTTCGAGATACCAGCGCAATCCTCTTGCTTCTCTAACCTGGCTGACCTCAAGGCGACCACTGCTCTCTACATCCCGCAGCCCCTTATATTTCTACGTCTCCAAATGCCCTGGAAGGTACCTACAACAAAGAGCTTTGGTCTCCCCTCAGTGGACATCTATGCCACGGAACTTTCCATCTTCTGGATTCATATTACTCGACTCATCCTTACGTATTGAAGAAGAGACATTACCAACATATCAGGGCCGGAAATATTATCCCGTCCAACAGGGCGAAGTGCTCAACAACCGATATCAGGTATTAGCCAAATTAGGCTATGGAGTCACTTCCACTGTATGGTTTGGTCGTGACTTGGTGTAAGTACATCTAAGCTACTATTTACTTCCTCGGTGCAGGTTTTATTTACATTGCACTACAGAAATTCCAGCTACGTTGCTTTAAAAATATACGTGACAGGTGAGAAAAGAGACCATGAACTGAATATCTATCGTCACATGAACTCAGCAGAGTTCAAACATCCAGGTAAAAGCCTCATTCGAAAGTTACTCGATCATTTCATTATCACGGGTCGCCATGGGCAACACATTTGTCTTGTTCACGAACCTCTAGGAATAAGTGCGAGTGAGCTGCTGAAATATTTTCCTGGAAATGCGGTAACTCTTGAGGATATGAAAGTATGCATCCGAGAGTTACTCATTGCGTTAGATTTCTTGCATTCTGTAGCTGGTGTGATTCACACGGGTACGTATGCCTTCCTACCTAGCGATATCGAGAGGCTAATCTGCTTAGATCTTCAGCTGAAGAACTTGCTTCTGCCCACACCAAAGCCAGAGGCGCTTTTGAAGTTTGAAGAAGAGGAGATAAGGATGCCATCAGCACGAAAGGTGCTTCAAGACCGTATTATCTACAGATCCTCCCGCTTCCCTCCTGGAGACGGACTACCACTTCTTAGTGACTTCGGCGAAGCACGACTTGGCGATGAGAAACATAACGAAGATATTATGCCAAATCTTTACAGGTCTCCTGAAGTGATTCTAAAAGCAAGCTGGGATTATAAGGTTGATATCTGGAGTGTCGCTATGGTTGTAAGTTCATTACCCTCATACGACAATCCTTCAGGTTGCTGGTATTGAGAATATGCTAATCGGTATGCTGAAGGCGTGGGACATTGTGAGCTCAACCACACTCATAAAAGGCAGAAATACAGATGGAATTTTTGATGATCGTGTCCAACTTGCAGAACTAGTTGCACTCTTAGGCTGTCCACCACCTGAGTTCCGCGAACGAAGTCATCTCAGTTCTGTTTTGTGGGACAACTCCGGCACCTGGAAAGGATTAGCCCCCGTTCCTGATATTACCTTGGAATCTTTGGCTATCGATATCAGAGGCGAAGACAAAGATGGGTTTCTGCGATGGATTCGACGGGCTTTGCAATGGAATCCTTCTGACCGACCGACAGCGCTGGAGTTTTTGTATGATGAGTGGTTGATGAAGGGACTTGAGTTAGGGAAACGAAAAGGGACCGATTAATCTTGATGGCTTTTATTTGTCTGTCTTTATCAAAAGCAGTATTGCTCCCATTTTCCAATACCCTATTCAAGCGATGATTTCCTCAAAACTACCAATCGCTTTTTCTTCTGTCAACAGTACGGAAATGGAAACAGAGGCAAGAATCATACTCTGTAAGCATGTCATTACAACCCTTAGCATATCATCAGACTTCCCAATAAAACAGGATAGGATAGGATAGAAGAGAGGGATAGATCTGAGCCACGTAGGTACAGGTACCGATATGTAGTTAGATACGAAGTAGATGCATCGGATATCGAAGCCTACCGAGAGATGATTATCATCGGGTCAGCCCGACCACTCAGTTACACATACTTATCACTTGATATGGTATTGTATCCAGGCTTTACCTCAACAGAAATTTGTGACTGTTGCGAGGACTTCAAGGCGATCTTTCCATATTGGGTTAGGACGACGGTGACTTGAAATCGTATTCGGATTTGATTTTGTTCATATGGCTTTTGAAGACTACCTATAACTAGTAGGAGCACGATTTGTACCGGAAGATGTCACATTGGAATTGTCTTTCGATGAACTTGGTGTCTCTTGTCCAATTTTTGAAGGTCTGTACAGTTATTTTTGAAACTGGACTGAGTCCAGCAGGTGGCTCTAGTCCCGCTTCGTATCTAAAAAGCCTGAATCTTATGCTTACTTGACCGGTTTCTGTTTCTGTTCCAAACGGACGAAAAAGGGATCAGTCATCAGGAGATAGGATAAATATGGGTTATCCGGCTATTTGGTGGTCAACTTCAGATTGTGTAATTGTGTATCTGCAGCTGGTTTGAGCTTCTATTATTCTGACACAGTTACCTGTCAATATACCAGACTTAAAATAGCCTCCATTTCATACTAGGTGAGCGGATTCCTCCTTGTTAATCACTTTGCATTCTAGTCATTGTCTTCTCATTCAGACTTTGATATTCCTTCAAGTAGTATTGGTAAATCTTGAGTATATTTAGAGTATATGATAATTACCAAGCTATTTTTTCTATGGGGGTATCTATTCTACTGTGATAAACATAGCTAACGAAAATACCACCACGGAAAATTCTCACAGTCAATGAATCGGACATCACCTGTACAACTCTTCCTTGATAAAGAACAGCAACTGAGAGCAGTAAAAACTCTACTGTCACATACGTAGATAGTCCTTTTAGTAGAAGCTTGCAAGCCCAGAGGAGCACTAACCCAATCAAAGTCCTTGTGAACCCCAACATTGTAGCTCATCTGGGTGATTTGGCTTCCCACTTGGCCCCAATATTCCAGCGTTTGGAAACTAAAAAAAATGCTAGTGAGCAGCAACCACCAGTACTTGCTTGATGGTGTAAGCAAACTATACCGCTAGTCTACATGTGATTTACTATATCTACTCGTCGTATGCTATCGTACTTGAGGCTTGGTAGTCATACCTATCGAGTTCCAGCAGGAAATACTAGAGCTCCAGACTGATATAGCAGCTTGTTATCAGCTAGGACTAGCTCCCGTGCGAAGATCCATTCCTGAATTCGAGACCAGCAAAAGAATGGCAACAACGCTAGCATCATACCACCATCATGGTTGCCATCATGAGAAACAAATTATCAACCAAGTTTTGGCATGAATGAATCAATTCTTTCTCAACTACGTCTTGTCCCGCTTCGCGTCAAGTGCGGGCCTTCAGTACTACCTAGCAGTAAAATGAGATATACTATTGCCAGTCAGTGTGATGGGTCCCGTTTGTGAGTCTTAATTAACCGGGAAAAGCATGCTACTAAACTTTCCTCCATGGTAATAAGGAGCTTGGCTGTTTACTCACACACTCGATTTACTTCCTTTCGCCGCCCAAGATTTTCGCGAGATCTTCCGCTTGATTACCTTGAAGTTAGTTAATATGAGACAGTATAGCGCAGCGTATTCTTCAAGAGAGATTACTACCTGTGCTTTGAAACTGCGGCGCATTGTTTCGATTTTGAGAAGGGGCAGCGTCTGCAGATTCTTCGAGGCTACTCATAGTGCCACCAAGCACATTCGTTAAGGTCTTAGCCGCGACTCCTGGATCAGCCATTGATTGTCCTGTATTAGCTAGAATAGCATCAGCACCGGACTATTCATCGCCTCGACAAAGTGGGGAGGCTCAGTGGGTGAGTTGTAGCACACTCAATATTGCCGTACATACCTGCAGCAACAGGACCGCCTTGTCTAAGCCCTTTGTCGACGGCTGCGATAAGCGGAGCCGCCGTGTTGACGCCTTCGAGGTCTGTTATAGAGAAACAGAGAAGATTAACATGATATAACGGAAGAGCAGCTTCAAGGGATACAAACCCTGAGGCATAGGGATGGCTGTAACAAGGCCAGCAACTGCCAGGAAAGAAGTAACGGCAACAGTAAAAGTCTTCATAATGTTAAGGGTGGATGAATTTCTGAGGGTAATTGTAAACAAAGATCTTGAATGAGGAGGAATGTTAGACTGTGGAGTGATGTAGGAAGAGGGGGAGCGAGTGCTCTTTTTATATCGTACAAAATATCTCAATGAAGATACTTAACAATCGAAAGATAATGCCTCAATAAACAATAGTATGTGCCACATTCGATTTACCTCCCAAAGTGAGATTATCTGACTTATGTTTCAATGAAACATATCGTGTGGCTGATATTCATGGGCCCTTTGAGCGGAGACATGATGACGCTAGTAGAACATTATTGGCATTATTGGATTTCAAGTTTCTCTACCCGGTGAGTTGATGCTGATAGACCACCTTGTGATACAGGGAAGTAAGCCGTCTGCCATTTAACAAGAATTTGAAATCATGCATTCTTATTCGGCCTAATATCTCGGAGTTTGCGGTTCGCCCAAATAGAATATAGAGCGGTAAGCAAATCAGCAAGGCCTTTATACCTTGGGATGTCAATACTTTTCAATCGCGATCCGCGTTAGGGGCACTATGTCTGTATGTAACATAATAAGTAAGATTAGTTTATCAATAGTCTACTGAGGTCCTTTAGTACACCTTTTCTACCTTTCTATGCCCTCTTCAGAATATAGACGTTTGTGCAGGTAGTCTTACCTTTGGTATGAATTGAGACATCTCCCTCGGTCAATAGCTCAGGTAGACGTGATATTTCATTGTTCGTCTAGCGGTAAGTGTCTGAACAGTATAGGTTCCGCCTCCTGGCAGGCATTACTAAGCTGACCATTATTGCCAGGAAGAGTAGTGGCTAGTGTCTGATCAAATGAGAAGGCGTTCTATATATAAACCCTTAAATAGGTTGGATATATCATGGTATTTGATTAACAACCGTGTTTCCCTAACTCGAAAAGGGCCTTGAGCCACAACGCTGAAAGGGAAAGATGTCGGTCGAGGTTTCATGTTAATGCTAAGCAGCCACACCATTCTCCACTTATTTGTGAAACAACTCTCCATACGAGGCCCGATAACTCTCGAAATATGAAACCCTGTATTTGTCCACCCTATTTAAAGAGCTATAGCTGCTCTGATGTCGAGGACCGTAAGCTGTATACTGCGACGTAAAAAACGCAAAAAGTATCTTGCTTTAGGTGGAATATACTTTGCTACTGACCGGCCCACCTGTTCTCTCGGGTTAGTGGGATAAGCATTGATAACTAGTATATTAAATATATTCTAAGACACGATAATGTTTTCATTGACTTGGCCTATTAATGCAGATGATGAGTGACCGGTTACTGAGGCGTCTGATCTTCTCCTTTGACCTTGAAATGGAGAGTATGTCAAGGTTCTAGACCTGGCAACTGCATCCGGAACGCTTCGTCTAACTTGTAGTTTTAAGAACAGATTGACCTCCACTGAGTTCGTTGAGCTATACGACGAATTTCCTATTCTTATTCATGAGATTTACAAGTAGAACCAGGGATAACCATAGCAGATCTTCTGATTAGCTTAAAACTTAGCAGGAAAAACAGGAGATACCAGCATTAAGTTCTTATGTGGGTCGCTGGCAGTGTGCTCTGTACGAGTATACGAAGGATCCAAGATCTCTTGCTGGTCAAAAAGTCTCGGGAATACTTCTCGTGGCAAAAAGGAACGATGGTTCAACAAATGAAAAGGCGCGTTCGTTTTCGTATAGGTGCCAAGCTTCTGTCCTCATCGCCTGCTACAACGGGCATAACAATGATAGACCCACTATATCCACGGCATTGCGATGCCATGTTTCCCGTGTGAAGAACCTATAAATACCTTGACTAGAAGACTGCAGTGAGATACTATTCAGTACCAAATATCAGGAAAGAAAAAAAGAGAGCATATATTCGTTCAGAACTATGAAGACTTTTGGTGCTGCCACCCTCATTACTGCATTGCTCGCCGCGAGCGAAGGAGCAAATGCCTTCACCAAGACCAACACCAGCCCATTGAAAAAGGTAGCAGAAAGCAAGGGTGTCCTTATTGGGTCCGGGGCTATCAATCCGAATTATCTCAATGATTCGTTGTTTGCGACAGTCCTTGCCGATCAGTTTCAAAGCCTCGCTCCCGAGAATGAGTTGAAGTGGACATTCATACACCCGACCCCAGGCCACTACAATTGGAACGCGACCGACCGCCTTGTCAGCTTCGCGGAGAAGCACAGCATGGTAGTTAAGGGCCACGGGCTCATCTCGAGCTGCTGCAATCCCGATTACCTGCTCAACATCACCGATCCCAAACAGTTCCGTGCCGCCATGGTCACTCACTTCGAAGCGATCATGCACCGATACGCCGGCAAGATGGATCGGTGGGACGTTGTCACCGAGACTCTCAAGTCAATGGGTGGCGGCCTACAGACCAATGACTTCTACAAGGTGCTTGGACCTGGATACATTGCAGACGCCTTTCATATCGCTAGGGCAGCGGGCCCAGACGCCAAGTTGTTTCTCAGCGAGAATCTGGTCGAGTCGCTTCCCGGTAAGCGTCAAGAGCTCTACGATCTAGTCTCCGGTCTTGTATCGGACAAGGTCCCGATCGACGGAATCGCATTACAGATGCACGTTACCGATGTAGCTCCGATCCCTGGTGTGATCACGGATATCATCAAATCCTACAATTCTCTTGGATTGGAGGTATCCATCTCTGAGATGGATGTCCATACCCTGAACACTACCCTCGAAACTGATATCTACAACGCCGTCCTCACTGAGGCCCTCGACGCTGGAGTCACCGACATTACCTTCTGGGGATTCACCGATAAGCACGCCTACACCTGGATCAAGGGCGCAAAGCCATTGATGTTCGACGAGTACTACAACCCTAAGGGTGAATTCTACGCTACCCATACTGCCCTGACCAGCTTCAACAACAAAACAAGCCCTAAACAAGCCTAACCAATATCATATCACCGAAGCTTTTTTGGAGGCTCTGTCTACAAGGAGGATTGATGTTATGGGTTGAGATTGTATTCACTGAAGATACAACACTCAGGATGCATGATTCTCTAGCCAAGAGGCCTGCCGACAGCCTTAGATTGATTGCTTTTCCAGCCGCTTTGTATTTGTACTATTTAATAGATTATAATAGATTACCTTGTCTTGTATTCAAAGGATACGCGCATACTTGCTTCCTCATACGGTATCGAGCCCTTTTCAAAAGCTATAAGTTGTTTAATTTCATCTAAAACATACTGATCGAAATACACCATCATCTCCGAGCCCAGGAGATACGCCTTCATACCGGCGCTTGCGACTTGCATACATGTAATCCAAAATGAAACAACGAAGTAGGCAAGACACTTCTATTTGCATCATTTTGTCGGTATTTCCACACTGGCACCATCGCACCGCACACTTGTCAGGGAAAATTAACACTTGCGAGGGCTCCCGGGCTTCTTTCGATGTGATGGCGTTTCAGGGCAGTCTCTTGTTTCCAGTAAAGTTTGAAGAGCCAACAATGTAAAGCCGTTATTCTCCATGTAGAAAAAGAAGGAATGGAACGTCGGGCGGCAATTTCGCCTATTTTGTCCATGGACGAAGTGGTTCTAACGGATCTGCAGAGCTTAACCGGTTTCATCGAATCATGGGGCTTGCTCGTTCCCGCATAGACTTTTGAGGTCCCCGTTCGTGTTCGTACAGCCGCAGAGGTTCCACATGGCTAAAAAATAGCATGTAACTTAAATATGGGACGTACTTTGGTAGTATGATTTTGAGCAACGGTCCATTGACCTGTGTCAGGATAGCTGATCCTTACACTTCAATATTCATCACGGTTGGATGTTGAGGCAACCATCTATGTAGGTCATGTACTTGGCACTCAGGCTGTTATATAAAGCATTATTTCACACTTGCTCTGCTGTGTGTTTTAGGTAACTAATATAAGTATCCTTTCATTATATTCTTTTACTTTATTATCTCTTGTTTCAATTATTTACTGAGAAATTTAACGTAATAAGTTATAAAATTAGTCCTTGTGCTACACAATTATATAAGAATCATTATAACTACCGAACCACAAGGCGGGGAGAAGTGGGTTGCTCGAAATGATACTGTGGAGGATGAGGATTCGGTTCTTTGGCACAGTAGGTTATACTCTTCCCAGTGTATGTCATCTTTACTGACCATCTCAATGGCATACGGTCTTACCCACAACCCTCGCATTGAGGATTTCCCGGTTATGCCGATGGAACGTTTCAGCGTCATCCTTAAACCCGATGGTTTCTTCACGAAGAACCCAGCACTTGACGTTCCGCAGTTCTGCCAGCCCTTCGACAGATCCACCCAGCATCCCGAACCCTCTTGCTGCTCAGGGCCACAGGATCGGAGTCAGCTGAAGCTGTAGAGTCGAAGAACATCCCAAATCTACTAGTAAATAATGATGAGAACATTGAACGAGATAGCACAAGAATGTCACTAAAGAAATCTTATGAATACAAAGCGAACTTTTCTCAAATCCGCAACCAACATATCCAAATCAGCATAGTATACAGGGCCTGCTTCCCCCCTCTAAAATCGAATGCAAACCTTTGAAAAATGACGCTGTTGCTGTAAATACTGATATGCCTCCTTGGTCTGTCTACAATCAAAGACCTGATCATCCAAAACGGGCTTGATGTCTTTCTCCTCGATGAACTGATTCATCTCGCGATACTGATCACGAGTGCCAAGCATTAATCCTCGGACAATATAAGTATTGACCAGACAATCCATCAACGTAGGAACGGAAGTATTCTCGGGTGCACCACCAAGTAACCCAGCCAGAGCAATGAGACCGCCAGCGCGAATGGCTTTAACTGATTGCGGCAGAGTCGATAAACCACCCACATCAACGACAATGTTGACTCCCTGGCTATTCGGAGTGAGACTTTTAGCTGTCTCTCCCCATTTAGAATCCTCGCGGTAATTCAGGACATGATGAGCACCGAGGGATTTGAGTCGCTTGGCTTTGACAGTGGAGCTTGTTGTTGCAATAATCGTAGCCCCTGCAGCCAAGGCAAACTACCAAATATCACATTCATTAAAAACGTTCGTTCCAAGTAATGCATCCTGAAGCAAAGCTAGACTCACCTGCAATGCTGCAATCGAAACACCTCCAGTCCCCTGAACAAGAACCCAGTCTCCCTTCTTAGGCTTCAGTCCCTCAACTCCAAAAAGAGCGTTCCAGGCAGTCAACCCCGAACAAGTCAACGTGCTGGCCTGTAAAAAGTCCAAGTTCGCAGGCATATGAACAAGAGACGATTCATGAAAAACTGCATATGAACTAAGCGTGCCATTGTAATTGTGACCCAGTCCAAATTCGCAGACATCATTCCAAGACGCCGCCTTATCGGAAGGCAGACCGGATGTGAGATGCGTACAGACCCGATCACCTAGTCGGAAACCACTGACGTTGGAACCGACGGCCTCGACAATTCCGGCGCCATCAGAGCCGGGGATGACGCCGGGTCGGAAATGAGATAGTTTGGGTTCACCCTGTACTCATCAGCAGGTGGTCTCAGAGACGCGAAAGAGGCTCTCGGGATTTGGCATGTAGTCTGGATAATGATATCACGTACCCTGGCAATTACTATGTCGCGATAATTAAGAGAGGCTGCATGGACCTTGACCAATACTTGATTGTCCCCAATTTCAGGGACGGGGGTTTCTTCTAGTAATTGAAGACTTTCGATGCCATTTTGGCTGGGCAGAATCCAAGTCGAAGAGGTTTGGGGTGCCATTGTGGGTTAATTTGGCAGAATTCAGAAATAAGCAGTCCAGTTTGCTTATAAGACGGAGAGGAATTCTTGCATTAGCAATGGTTACAAATCCAATACCGAATTGACCTCCACACACACTCGTGTACAAGAGGGTGGGTTAGGTGGGAGCCGAATTGCGTAGAAAAATAAAACCTTTTATCTCACTGGAATGTATTGAATTGGTCAGAAACCATTGCTGAAAAAGGCGAATTTGAGTGGTGGGGATAATTGCACGAATCATTCAACCGGATATGACGGCATTCGTGAGTCAGTTGGCCCACAATATACAGTGTGGTTAGGGTCCACTCATGAATCAGACAGGCTCCTCATTGGGCAACTAGTAGTAAATTTCCTAGTTAGCTAAAGCTTTTTCTCGCAATGGCTCTTCCATCAAGTTCCATAACCTCTCTAATCAGGACACACTAGCATCTAGCATGGTGATCCCTGGTGGAAAGTTTTGCGGGCTTGCTGAGCATAGTTTTAGCCGTGGTTTACGTTAATATGTGAGAATCCAGCAGACCGTAACATAACGCCACCTAACTGAGGGTAACTAGCAACTGAACAGCTAGGATTGTGTAAAGCTGCACCCAAAGATATTCGAATTGACTATTTGCGATAATTTGTTGCATATTCGGTTCAGGGATAAGGCTTTGTGGTGCCCCAGTGATATAGTACCTATTTGAATGAACGGAGTTGAAATTAGATTGCAGGTTATTGATGAGATATTGGTAACATTCAATACCGCCAGATGTCTCAATATCGAAGTCCCAGCCATTGACCAAAGTTGTTCCAGAAGGTCGATGTACAACATCACTTTTCGTATGTCCATATGCGTCCCAGAGGTGCTGACCAATCATTTCAGCCTCCTGCTGTGATGAGAGATAATATGCTCCTGTTGCACCACCAAGCGAGAGAAGTACTGTGACTCCATTCATTTGGCATTTCTTGATTGCAGCACCCAAATCTTCGCACTGAAAAGAGTCGCCGCTCGGTAGTAACGAGCACGACTGACCAATTGTACCCGATGGAAACATATTCCCATTGCCATACTCATAAAAAGCTAACACTAATAGGTCGATGCCAGCTTCTGGTACACAGTACGTGGACACATCATTGTCTTGGAAAGCGTTTCCCCCATTTTGTCCCCAGTATATTGCGTTCAGAAAATGAGGTCACTGAACCTCATAATCGCCCTCGATCGGCACTGCCGATACAATGGCACCAAGAAGCAAGCCTGTGAATAGAATGTGAGAATGCATCATGCCCCCTATTCGTGGAGGAAGCTTGAGCAAAACCCGATTTATATTGTCGAGATTGTTTATTGCACGTCATAGATAATTGGGTCTACAAAATTCAACAAAAGAAGAACTCCCTTGATCTGGAATGAGCTGCTTTAATATATTACTGACCAACAGAACTTCTGAAAGCGACTGAGTATTATCCGCAGTCCAGAAGACAAAGTCACCACGCGGTAAAGCAATTATCTTATAACAAATTTCAAAGAATATTTAGTTTCCCATTTATGTAAAAGTCACTATGGTATTAGAAGTCATTCAAGATCGTGACTATAGAGTACCAGTGTAGCATCCTCGCCATTGAAACCTATAAGTACTGCTGAAGGGATTCATTAATACACTGGGAGTTCATTTAGTATGGCCTTAGGTGCATGTAGAGATGGAGCCCCTGCCTCCCAACTACACTATTTAGCCAAATACTAGAGCTCTGGAGCATCAGGCTTGGTACGCGCAGCCTTTATAAGCTTGCCTTTGGAAGCAGAACCACTTCAGCGGGATCCTCCTAGGGGCTGTTGCTTCTACTCGTATTAAGCTTACTTTGACCGTGTCTTTTTATCCATACAAAAAATTAAATTCACAATGATAGTGCATTTACCGTTTCATAATTTTGGCTATGGCTACACAACCTTCTATAATTCCGGTATACGCCGTTATTACATACCTCATTGTCACGTATTACTGCGGGCCTTACAAGTAGGGGAATGATGTGCGCTGATATATGCTGCTATAGAATCGTCAGTGCTGTGTGTCTTACGTTATCTGTTGGGCCCTGGAAGGTGCTTGTTAAGCTCAGCTGAGGTCGACATTTGAATCTAGGCCGACGGCAGTTCTTAAGTCGGAAAACCCACCTTCGGTTTCCCGGTCTATGTTGTATGAATGGGGTAGATTCGCAATATAGATGAAGTATCAAGTCTGTTCTATAATTCAGGTCTGTAGGCTACGTAGTAGAAGCTCGTAAATTTCAGTGGAAATAACCCCTAAACATGTTTCATTGTTACTAAAGGGTGCACGGAGCTCTGTCCTAATAGAGATCTGCCATAGGCTCTGTTGAAACAACATAGGTAGAAGCCTTCCTTATCTGGTGCGAGGCAGGTTTAGCCAAACATTCGCACCTTCCAGCCATCTCCTTTCTCCGATCAGATTCTGCTGTCTCCTGTAGTGTAGACTTTGATGAGCTTAGCATGACGCGGTATAAGGTAAACTCTCTCAAGAGTACTTACTGCTGTCTGCCGATCATTACGCAGTATGTTGAGGAGCAGCGGTATCTTGACTTTACCCATTGTTAGTATTCGACGCTGTACCTGCTGCATGACTCCGATTATCTGCTGTTTGCTGAGAGTGCAGTGAAACATTCTCCCTGTTATAGTACACATACCTGCAGCCTTATATAGATGTACCACCTTTAGCACCAATTAGAGCTGGAGAAACTAAAACCCCAAGTCCCGTAGCTTTTCCGATGTCTCCGGCAAGTCCTTTTACATATGGGATCAGTTTAGCTTGTAAACAGAAACTTCAAGGGTTGCATACCTTGTGGCGCAGGGATTGCCGCAACAAGCCCTATAATTGCCATAAAGGAGGTAACTGCTACAATGAAAGCCTTCATACTGTCATATATAGCGATATTTTTGAGTAAAATTATGAAGAAAGAAATGGAATAAGTGTATAATAAGCTATAGAGGGCTCTAAAGACTCCGTTTATATAGTCAGTATACATTCAGGAACGGACTTAAATGGATTATCACAAGACATACTTTTCAGGCAGAATCACGATCACATTCAATAGTTCTTTTCGTAAAAAAGCAATGATGTGACAAGATTGAGGAACTCAAAGTTAACTATATAACAATTATTGCCTCGGGTACAATAGTGTGCATGCAACCTCACTTATTATTGATTACGTAATATACTCTGACTGTGAACGGCACAGTCACATTAAAAGGTGCTTCTCAACATGGGTAGTTGGAGCGGCTGTCACCTGGCGATGCAATGAAACTGGCTGTTACTGATCAACGAGATGCATTTGGCATGGCACGTTGATTTTCATCAGGCTAATATCTCAGAATTCGCGGCTCGCCCAAGCTCATCGTCTGCAAAAATCGTGGCTCTACTGTTACAGTGGCATAGAATCCCGGCGAGCCTTGTGGTCTGGAACTTTTGCTCTTTTCTATCATAATATTCTTCTATAACATCTCCTTCAATATTAGCTTGTTTGATATATCATGATGTTCCGGCTGGTAATCCGTTAAAGTATTAGCACAACCAACCTGACAATTCCACGCGCTTACAATTCGTTTCCAGCACACCATTATATACATGTGTTTATATGCATACTCTAGGCCTTTGTTTGCGTCTCTAAGCCTGCTGGTAGCTCCGACGTTCTACAGATTGAGCGAACACAGGTTATGCTCCACCCATCGCACGTGCATTGGTCACGTTCATATCACAAGTGGGGTTAATCGCAGCGTCATTGAGTTGTGATGTGAGGAGATATGTCTACCTCTGTAGTCCAATCATTATTACCCTTGCTGGTCAAGGCCATGTCCAAAAGTCATATCGCTCAGTTTGCTCCACTAACTGCCAATAGATGCCGTTCCAATCAGAGCACTCACGCTCAAACACATGACCAAGAGGTATGACTTGTCTAGAAGAATTCTTGATACGGACGATGTCTAGTCTGTCGTGATTTGGCGAGGTTGCGTTATTCATATATTATTCCGCCAAGGGAGAAGTGCGAACTTGAATGGACAGTAAGAACGGGTAAGTGTGACATTCGTTGGCGGTGGACATTATAGTAATGTATACCACACATTCCACTTCAAACGACATTGATCGCACATGAGGTCTGGCGCGTCGACCTCCATCCTAAACAGGTTCTCTTATCATTATATCTGGAATAAATATTGGTGAGGTGGAAATTCTCAAATAATAATTCTGTTGGTGTTATAATAAGTCCATGACACCAAAAAAAGCAGCTACAGCGTTATCAAAGCTTCTGATTGAAGTCTAATTTCCAACAAGAAGTCGGGATAAAATTGCATCCGAATGTATACTTGATGGGTTCTTGCCTTCTGTTTGTGTAGGGTATCGCACGGGACCCTTGTCGTATACTGTAACTTGTGAATCTTGCCCTTTTATCAACCCATATTAGCTGGGGTAGGCACCAGAAATCAGAAACATCGAATGATAGGCATGTGTCTCACGCCTCTGTTCCTTGCAGCATATCAAAAGCTGTACGTTTACTGGTGCTCAATTCTATCTTTACCAGGAAAGAGGGGAAGCTAATACGTAGTATTAATTATATTCTGAGACAATTGATTGCAGTAAACCACACGGCGACATTCCTGTTCAACCACCCACCTGCCCCTTGCCTGCACATGTTGATCATGTCTCAATAAGCGGTGTATATCCCCGCCCAATACTCATAACGGCTTTTGTTCCGAAGCAAAATGAAACTCAATTCCCTAGTCTTCCTCATATGTTACTTGTGTGTTGTCTCGCTTATTCCTGTTTTCCTCGTTCTCATAATGGCCCCGGGCAGCCAGAACTCGCGATCGAAAGATAAATCCGAAAAAGCGGATAAATCTGACAAGGTCGATAAGCCCGTATTAAGTGCTATTAAAGACCTCAAGGCATCAGCAGCAGCTGTACTTCAGCACCTTGAACACCTTGACACGGTTGAGAACTTGAAGAGGCAGGTCAAAGAGCTCAATCAGCAATTGGAGGAAGCCAATGCAAAGGTCGAAAAGGCCCAGGAAGAGCGGAATGGAGCTGATATAACGAATCAAGGATTGACAAAGTCGTTTGAGCAGCGCTTTCTGGAGTGGAAGGAGAGAGAGGATAAATTGGAAGCTCAAGTAAAAGAAGAACGCACCAAGGCTGAATTGATTTCGCAAAAGAAAGACCGGGAATGGAAGGAACAGTTGGAAAAGTACAAGAGAAAGTTACGCAAATTAGAAGAGGAACTTCAGTGTGAGAAGGAGAATAATACCGGCCTAGATTTGCGTCTACGACGGACTGAGAAGACACTAAATGACCTTCGTGAAGATATCAACGTCATACATTTTGAAAAAGACTCGTGAGAGACATCAGACTCAAACCTGGGGTTGAAATGCTCACTCGCCAGCAGTTTCTCCAAACGTTTCAAAGATCTCGATGACAAGCTCTATAAGCTGACTGAACGCTTCTTCAAGGGCCCTTTGCGGCCGTTCGATCAGGTAAGCCGCAGAGCTGGCATGAGTTACTGAGGGAGAGAAATATTTCTCTGACATAGAGGCAGGGACAACACCATTTTCCTCGTACTTCCCAACCGATGTTGTTTAGCTACGCTGAGAATCATACTGTTCCATGTGCCCGCCTAGCCCAGTTACTCATTGCGGATCGACTTGCTAGGGATGTTTTCAAGCCTATGTGTATTGCATCACCGAAAGGGCTCAAGTGCATGGGCGATGAAATTCAGAGATCCGGGAACGAACCTCGCCAGAAGGCAATACTTCGCTCCCTTCTCTTCAAAACCTTCCATGAAGAAGAGGAAGAACAACAAAGAGAGGTTATAAAATTAGTTACCTCTGAGCTCCTCCACGAGCTAGAAGAGAGGTTGAGCCCTGAGGGTAGTAGTGTGTTCAAGGAAGAGTTAATTACCTATCTGGAACTGGCTGCCAAATTATGGAACCAGATGAAGGAGGGATCAGATTGGGTTTTGGCGTCTTCCGATTGGCACAACAACTGCGCGGCGTGGAATAAGGTTCGGGGGCAATCGAGTAGTACTGCGGTGGGGCAGCAACGACTACTACCAGGAGCTCCATGGTTTGTCATGTTTCCACAAATGTATGTTGATGGAAGTGATACCCTGTTATATCCGGGGTCCTTGTGGTCTTTCGATCCGGCGCCGGCTGAAGAGAAGCGGAATGCGCAATCTCCTCGAGCTGGGCGAGTGTCAGCGCCTCGGAGCTCCAAAAGCCCAACTGTAGCGGAAGCCAGCTCTGATCCGGGGGTCCCAGCGTTTCGAGGTCTTGCATCGAGGGATAAGGTTTCTGAAATGGGCCGCAGAGTATCTTCGGATTCCGAAGGCCAGCGAAGATGTAAATCTACTTGCTGAGCAAAATCAGTTTAAGTGATAAACACGGAGAAGTGATAACTACACCTAAGAATTTGCAAGACAAAACCCAAGAATGGAGACACTATTTAGACTATTCCCAAGTGAGACTCTCCCTGTCTTACAGTGCAGCAACTGAGCATGATTTCTTCATCGACATCGAATTGCTCAGCACTCTGTCAATTTATTTATCTATTATTTGCTGCATTCATGATGTCTATGTGAAGCTATCAACTCGCCCTTTCAACCCATCACTTCTGGGAGCCATCATTTATGGCCTTTCACAGATTTGCCGAGCGCACAGTGTTGATACCACCAGTCACAACCATCTTGATGTTGACATAATCGTCAATGCCGTACTTGCTGCCCTCACGGCCCATACCGGAGTGCTTAACGCCGCCGAACCTTCTACAAGTCAGCGGAATCATCATCAGGATCAGGATGAGAATAACTTACGGGGCAGCCCAATCAGAAATAACACCCGTGTTGATAGCCACCATACCAAACTCCAGTTGCTCAGACACACGGTGTGCCTTGCCCAGGTCACTAGTGATCAGATACGATGCCAGACCAACCTCGCAGTTATTCGCGCGGCGAACAACTTCCTCCTCTGTGGAAAACTTGGCGAGCGCCGCAACCGGTCCAAAAGTCTCCTCCGTGGCCACATGCATAGTGTCATCCACATTTCCGAGAATGGTGAGCTCGTGGAAGTTCTTGCCGACAGAAGATAAAGTGTTGCCACCGAGGAGTACATTTGCACCCTTGCTAATTGCATCCTTGATGTGTTCCTGGGTCTTGGCCACGCCGTTGGTTAAGGGGCCGTGTGTTACGGCAGCATTTTGGCCATTGCCAATCTGACACTTTCTCACCTCCTCGACGAGTCTCTGGCTGAAACGATCATAGATACCCTCCTGGACAAAGAATCGGTTCGCACACACGCAGGTTTGGCCAGTGACCTTGAACTTGCTGATCATGGCGCTCGTAACAGCGGTCTCAATGTCGGCGTCGTCAAAGATAATGAAAGGAGCATTCCCACCAAGTTCAAGACTGAGCTTCTTAAGGGTGCTGCTCGACTGCTGCATGAGGAGCTTGCCAACGCGCGTGGATCCAGTGAAGGAGATCTTCTTGACAATATCCGACTGGCAGAGCGTCAGGCCCAAAGTGGGAGTGTTCTCTAGAGCTGTGACAACGTTCAAAACACCTTTAGGAACGCCCGCGCGCTCTGCAAGTACAGCCAAGACATTGGACGAAAAGGGTGTCAGGCCATCCGACTTCAATACAACCGTGCATCCTGCGGCCAGCGCAGCAGCAACCTTGCGCGCTCCCATAGCCATGGGAAAGTTCCAAGGGGTAATCAAGCCACATACACCGACTGGCTCCTTAAGAACCTGTGTACGGCTTGATGGGTTGCTGTGAGGAATGATATCGCCATAAATTCGGGGGGCTTCCTCGGAGAACCATTCGAAGAACCCAGCGGAGAAAAGTGCCTCTCCTTCTGCATCACCCTTTGCCTTGCCGTTTTCTGCTGTGATGACTCTGCCAATATCCTCCTTATTCTCGACAATCAAATCAAACAAGCGACGCAGAATGCGCCCGCGCTGGCGGCCTGATTGCGACCGCCATGAAGGGAACGCTTTGGCAGCGGCTGTGATGGCTGCGTTGACATCGTCTGTGTTTGATTCAGGACAAGTTCCGATGATTTCGTCAGTTGCGGGGTTGTAAACGTTGAAAGTCTTGTTTGATTTTGATACTACCCACTGGCCGTCAATGTATGACTTTTCGACAAAGAGGCTGGGGTCTATTAAGCTCGACGCGAATGCGGGGGCCATTTTCGAGGTCGTTCGTTTATGTGTAGGAGGACTAAAGGTCTTGGGTATAATGCACAGGCAGAAGATGAAAATGCAGGAAGAGTCGACGCGAATATAAATTTCCTGAGTATCTCTTTGTGTATATCTGAGAAATTGAATTTATCCTTCATCCACTGGGTACACTGATTCAAGTATATAGAATATGGCTACTCCATATGTTATCCCCGCTCGGGCACGGATCCTCGGGTCAAAGAACCCCTCGGGTGAGTACCGATCTTCCCGAGCGCCATTATATCCAATGATTGGCAAATCTTCAATTGCCTGGACCTTTTTAGTAAGTCTTTCCTACTCTTACCAAAACAATAGTATTGTGAGGGGTTGACTGCAGGACGTGACCTGATACGTCACTTGCCTGTTTCGTTCAAGCTACACCTTCCAATCGTGCGGAAATACATTCTCGATTTCGATCCTCGGTTATTCTAACAAATCACACTTTCTTAAATACCGCCTATCATTGGTATGCCTATCTTGAGGAAGGTGAGTCTACAATATACCATGAATACACTGTAGAGGATAGCCTATGCCACCCTAAGCACGCCTAAACTATATCCTTAAATTCACCAAACTAAGTAGGCAACGGGTCCGCTACCTCCACACTGAACAGGATACTTAACATCAACCCAACCTAAAACATACCACTCTCAGTACCTGTTTGATCTACACTGCCGATCATCCCGAGACATCAAACACGGCTTCAACCTTTTCCATGTGTATGCGTTTCATTTACGAGCGAAGTTATCTGATCCGCGCAGCTCGACGCGGACCCGACGCTCCATAAGAGGAGGGGTAAGGCTTATCTCGGATGTGAAGCCGAAGCTGTGGAAACCCTCGGAGCAAACCTTGAGGATCGAGTGGATACTGAGCCCCAACAAATTTGTCCCGATGCTCCCGATATATGCAGTGCGCGAGTCCAGTGCTCACCTAGATTTGTTTTCATATGTGAATTACGTCCAGGTGACAACGGTCGAAGTGACATGAAATGAAGTGTATGAAGGAAGGACCTTCTCTTCAGAAGTTCGATCGAAAGAACGTACACAGAGCGCAAGCCATATCTACAAACCAATACATCACCACAGGCCTAATCTATTAGCTGTCTATCATCGCAGTCAATTTTTGTTCGCTAAGAAAATCCAACATTGAATGCAGATATGCCAAGCATACAAACAACCCGAATCATAGCATCCGCTGTAATCACCTTCGCAGTCGTTATACCCTTTGTTCTTGCCTGTTTCTAAAACTTCTCAGTGCATGCCCTATCTTACATTTGCAGCAGCCGCAGTCGCGGCAGAAGTCAGGGACAGCTCCGAATATTGCATATGACGAGTCCAGGAAGTAATACATCTAACTTGCATACAGCGTCAGACAGTGAGCGGGTTTGAGTTCAATTTAGTTCCTTTATATTTTGAAACATTTCGCTGGGATTTGGGATTTGAGCGCATCGCATGTGTTTAGCGAGAATCTATTTTTTTCCCTATTAAAGACAACTGTCTAATTTATCTACCTGTCTTTTTATATAGTTTATATTATTCGGAGAGACTAAGTTAGATTAAGTGAAGAACAATCAACATGTATAAAATCAATGATTTAGCCTATCGATATCAACGAGAACCGCCAAAACCTTTAAGATACAGCCAACACCGCAACTGCCCACGCCGGCATATCAACAGTGAAGCTTCCGCTGCCAGACACAGTAGAGGTCTGCGTCGTAATCGACACATCATGAGGATAATTGCTCACTGTCTCTCCACCGGAGAGCAGCTGGAGCTGACCGGACGTCGTACCCTCGATGTTTATAGTTACATTCTGTGAAGACGACCCGTAGTTCGCCAGTTTGACGTAGTACGTGCCCTCGTCAGACACGGATGCGACCCAGTAAAGCGGATCAAAGTCGGCGGTCGTGTTGACGGGAAGGACTGTGGAGCCACGGTTTGTCGAGAACATCTTCTGGACATAGTACGATGTGGAACCGGTTATGGAGTCTGGACTGGAATCCAGACCGAAGAGATCGGGCTGTTGCGGAGTCAATATTTCTGGATAAATTACTGGGAGCTGTAAGTGATGGAAATTTTAAGCACTTACCGACCATTCGGCCATATCGAAATGCTCCAACAAGGGTGCAAAACTAGCCATCTTGACAATGTCGCTGTTGCGTTCCATGCCGATCATGTAGACGGCTTCACTGCAGGATCCCTGCATGTACGACCAGTAGGTAGTGCTGCCATCGTTGCCGGTCGTACTGGCGTATTCGCCGACGAGAATAGGCCAGTCGCGTGACCAGTTGTCCCATTCGTCGAAGAGGTCGATGAACTCGTCGGGTGTGAGGTAGTGGTGGATATCGGTGATGACGCCGTCAGGGATGGTGGAGGGGAGGCAGGAAGTATCAGTTGTGGAGGCGACAATAGTCAGGTTAGGGTATGCGGCATGAACAGCATCGTAAATCAAAGTGAAGCGGTTTGCGTAGGTACCGCAGCCGCTGTTGAGGTTGTCTTCGTTGCCAACTTCAAGGTACTTGACGCCCCAGGGCTCGGTGCGGCCGTTCTTGGCACGCAAGGCGCCGTAGGTTGTGTCTGCGGAGCCGAGGACGTACTGCTAGTGTCAGAAAGGCCCTGGGAATATTTTGTGGGGTGGCATACCTCGAGCTCATTGAGAATGTCGTCGACATAGGGATCCAAGGCTGATCCGGACACGATGCCACCACCTAGGGAGAGGCCACTCCATACAGCAAGGAGTGGCTCCATGTCCATGTCCTCACACCATTGAAGGTATTCATCGAGACCTAATCTTTGAGTCAGTCTGGCTTTACTTTCGAACGGAGTTCACGAGCTGAGCTTACCAAGTGCGTCCGTGTTGGGATAGGTCCAGTCACCTGCACAAAATGTAAGTCAATGGCGGTCTCCTTAGAAGACAGGTACGGGTCTCCGTACCTTCGCGTCCTGGGCGATCAACGACAGGACCAATGGTCTCGTTCCACTTCCAGCGATCACTAGGGGTTGCACCTTCTCTGAAACCAAGTTAATACGAAGCCCAGCGGCCAATACAATCCCGATTCGTGGGGACCTACAGATTATTGCCTCCAGGGAACCGCAAGAAAGACGGCTTGATGTCCGCAAGGAAACTAGCAACATCATTACGCAAGCCGTTATACCTGAGCAATATTAGACTGTCGCCAGAATAAAACGATTGGATACACTTACCGTGAGTTGTAAGTAGGAGGAAACAGCTGCACCAGGCCAAAGTTCAGAGAGCTCCCAGCCACCTTGGAAGCATCGAACCGTAGCTGCCACACATTGTGCGCATCTGCAGACACGGACGAGCTGAAAGAAGTCTCATAGTAGGTGAAGTTGGTGCTGGTGCTGTCTACAGTGATGTTGTGATCCGCGTAAATGATCCCACTCGAGTTTCCCACGAGTCGGAGATTGACGGTGCCAGAATAGTCACCCTTCATATAAAAGTAGTTGTCGTAGTCAGTCCCGAGAACGGGAACACCCTCATACCCTTCATTTGCAAAGCCAACGTAGCCAGTTGCTCCAGAGGGAACGGCTACCTTAAGTGTGGAAGTGATGGCGCTGCTAAGAGGATTGGCCGTGTCTTGCGATATAGTCACATTGCCTACCGCGCTATATGCCGTGAGGCCCGGGTCGTCGCCCTGGAAGCCATTGTTGCGGAGTACTTGGCCGTGTATGCCACCATCACCTAGCACTGGTTAGTGTGCCATTTCCCATGTGGGTCAGTTGATCTGGCATACCAGAGTTGTTGATATCCTATATTCAAGCATATGAGCGACTGCAGTAATGAGATGAGGGCGAATCAGAGTCCTTACCTCGAACATGACCCCATAAAGAAGGGGACTCGACGAATTCCCACCACTCTTTGACACTGTCAGTTCAATGGCCAGCGTCTGGCCGGCAAGCAATGCCGCGGCCAGCGAGACCAAAGTAGACGAATACATGTTTAGATGCTTCTGAGTTGGCGACTCTACTTTGCGATCTCATATGAAAGCTACAACTCCCCGGAAGGGGCCATCCCTTAAATACTTTGGGCAGAAATAGTACTAGTATGCAGCCTGCAAGACTAATTCTGTTCCTTACATTCTTAAGCAATAGAATTGGGCAGCGCATGGGCCTATTAATGCAAAATGACTGCATTTACCTTACCCAAGCTGATAAGCCCACAGGAGAATTACCCCGTTGGGGTTGACATCGTCAGGCACTCGATCGCACCGACCCCTCACGCAGCAGAAGATGCTGGCAATCGCGGCTAAAGTAGAACAGAGATAGACTAGAAGTATGTATCATGCAGGCAACATGTGGTGCATGTTGTTGCATGGTTGAAGAAATGCGGGGGCCAGATGAGGGGTTTCAAGGCTATCGTCGTCGTCCTCGGCCATTCTGCGCCGATGAGTTGGTGACAAGCGACAGTACTATAATCTTGGCGGAATTTTTCCGACCACTTAAGCAGCTTTGCTGAGATTGCTTATTGAATATTCCAAGGCATGAACGTAAGCAAACATGTCATTCATGATTTTGTGTCCAAACATCGAGGAAGATGACTGGCAGGTGCCTGGATGCGAGGCGTGCTAAGCCCTCGTATCCGGGCCGCTCAGGGGTCAATCCAGGGACTGCCACAGGGGCAAGATGAACGCTATGCCATTTGGAGTAGGGGACTCGTGTATATTGTGTCATCTACTTTGTGAAGTGCGGATTTTCCGAGGGAAATTGGCCTGTGCACAAATATTCTGGCCAGAGAGATGTCCTGAAGTGCATGGTGCGTGGGCAGGTGCCGCCAGTTTGGCATTTATCGAGTACCTTTATTAAGCTCTACAAGAACAGACCAACAATATTATTGCGATCTCGAATACCGCTTTTGCTGTGGTGTGTGGGAGATGGAAAAGTAGGGGGCAAAAAAAGAAAAAGAAAAAGAAACGTCCCGGGAGAGGATCGAACTCTCAACCTCACGATTAACAGTCGTACGCGCTAACCTTTAATGCTGAATTAGTAACTGATTGGGTATGATGTAGTGATGAAGGGTAAGCTTACCAATTGCGCCACCGAGACGACTCGATATTTGGTGCAATAAAATAGTGTTATATGTAGGGCGATGGTAAACAAATCAGCTTAAAACCAAGCTGACAACAAACCACCTCCTGGATTTACATATATCTAACGCAACATCACTTCGCTAGGATAAAGAGATATCTATTGCCATGCTTGCTTATAGTGCGCTGAAGATCTTCCAGCTATGAGCTCTAACATATGTACTGTGAGATTTATGTGTAGGACTAGTATCCTAGGTAGAGCTGATCATCTCACTGCCGATATATAAACAGCGCCTGTTAGGGAGGTTTATATATGATGTTCTGGAAGGCCAAGCCCCGAGCTCCCAACAAGTCTGTACTTAGGACAATTACTTTTACTTGTCTTGAACAAGGAAGATGAATGTACGCCATCATCCTGACACCACTATTCGCAGCGTGGTATGACTTTGCTATCAGCAACATTTGTCTCAGTCAATGATCTCTGATAATGACTTCCAAAGAAAACGACGCGACCGCATCATTTTCTAGGTCATAACTACACTCACCTGGCCCTATCTCATATTTGGCCTGGTATCTAATATTGTTGCTGCTCGATCTTACTTCTGGTCTCACACATGCACTCGATATACTATTATATATTTCTCCGAACTCCGCCGTGGAACGGAACTTAAGAGCGAAAGATGACAAGTGCTATTTACTGTTCAACAACCTATACACACCCCTGTAATAACTGAGCCTGACCCGATCAGAGACCCCCGTACGAGTAACTTAAGCGATCTAACGTTACACTCATTCCATGATCATAAGCACATGCGTGCATTTGGTTGGCCATGGGACGCGCGAGACTAGAATTGAATAAAGTTTGGTAGTCCAACTGCATACTAATCTTTTATTGAAACAGATCCAATCACTCGCCATCAACAGTCTCACCATATATACTAAAATATTCCCAACGGGGTATAGCCTCGCTCTACCTGCCTCCAGAAGCAGCCACTCGATCCTGAGGCGGGGTATCGGGATTTCCCCAGGCCTAGCATTAGGATTTCCTACACCAAATGCATTGGAATGAATAAATTCAAAAAGTTGACATTATGGTCATGAGATATTTGAAAGTTAACTTGAATATATTGATAATTCCACTTCCTACGCCTCAAACCCAATTCCCGGCCCATGGTGCGGAGACCTCAACGCACGGTCATATTCTCTGTCAGCGCGGAAATCGTCCCGGGCGACCTGCTCCTCGTTGGGGTGGGGGTGCGTATGCTTGTTCTGAGGGGGGTGAGAGCGGTGGGTGTGTTCGTGGCCTGGCCCTATGTGTTAGTCACCAATGTCTAGCATGATGCCAGATGATAGAAGTAGGAAATGGCAAACTCACCTTCATGACCGATGGTAGGAGGATGCTCATGTGCATCTTCGTGCTTGTGCTCGGTCTTGTCCTTGTGGTGGTGAAGATGGAGAGCGTCTTCGGCTTTGTGGATGAAACCCGACATGATCGATGGTGGATGAGAGTATTTCCGAATGTGAAGTGTGTGTTTGACTCGAGGATGATAATCAGAAAGGAAACCGTCCCTATCCTTCGAGGAACTTGGCAAGCCTTATAAAGACAGCAGGAGATTATATGACGTCGAATTAGGTGATTGCGTGGCTAAGCGTGGCATCCAAGATGGGCTGATTTGATAACTTCCAGTTTCCTTCCTATGCATGCATGGCTGGTGCTAGTTTGACGTCATCGCGGAGATGGACGGGCTGATTGGAGCAACATCGACTGGGATGTAGATCACTAGATAAGCCTTGTCTGGCGACTCGGAACGAGCGGCACGTCTCCATGTTATTTGTACTATGAATGCATGTGAGTTTTAGTATGAGAAATAGGTTATAGTATATTTAGGGTTACTATGATCGGGGCTGAACGGCTGCACTGTCCGAGGCGTGGAAGCATACTGAGCCATATCCATCACATGAAGGGTCATCGGACTCTAGCTTTTATTACATATCTGCCTGCGGGGACCAAATGGTTATGGAGGTTTAATTCTCACGGTCGCAGACTATTGTAAGGCTGGTGTTGAAGTAGCCAGGAACATAATGTCCTACCGAACGCGGAAACCCGAGCGATCTAGAGTTCACCCCACCGCCCATGGGATTTTCATATGCCCTACTTTAGAAGCTCTTTCGCGGGCAGATATGTAATACGATATGGCATCCGAGCAGATAGAAGTGCGAATTCCAGATGACGGAGTTAATAACTTCCCATAATATTCATAGCCTTCATGATTTTTCCAATCTGTTATTGGCTAACGAACAAAAATAAGCACATCCCATTTGTCTCCCAAAACACAGAATTAGTTCGACCAAGCCATGTGTCTGGTATCTGCTGAATGACTACACACCGTCCTCAGTGTTGCGCACGGTTATCGCAGTGCTTCCATACTTTCCCGGCTCACTATTTCTGGAAATAACCGGCTCTTCTTCGAGTAAGCTAGCACCACGGGTTCTTCCAATAATTCCTCTAGCGGTGTCCCTTTTTTCAAGGTAAGCAATAAGGCCAATAACTGGGAGAGTTAACATTCCCGTCACCAAGCTCGCAATATACCCTTTCCTGAAGTTGGGCGCATCGGTTACTGGGTAGAAGACCAGCGGCCACCAGGTCACAAAAGCAAAGTCAAAGGAGTTCATGAATCCAGTTGTGATGGCACGCAGCTGGAGGTCATGGCCTGTAACGTCGGCCATCCAAGAATACCAGACAGCCTGGGGAGCGTATGTTGTTCCGAGTAAGTAGAAGGCAACAAAGTAGCCAGCGTCCGTGGCAGGGGTCGAGACAAGGATAGCCGAGCCAACAACGAAAGTTAGACCAATGGCGATAGAGACCTCCCATCGCGATTGTAGCCTGTCTGAAATCGCTGCATATGCAACTATGCCCACAACGGCAGTTGCATGAATGACGGTAGGATAGGTGTTTTGCTGGACGACCGTGTACCCCCGTGAGGCTAGCCAGTAGGCCATAACGTTGTTTCCTAGCATTTGCACACAAACTGAATACACTGTTGAACATTAGCTCAGTGACTTGAAGGCAAAGTTATCTAGACCTACACATGAAGACAAACGGCAAAAGCCAGAATTGCCAGCTCAGCAACACGCGCTTGAAGACCGTGGTATCCCAAGACTTCTTGGAGATGGCACCCAGTCGAGTTGCTGCATGTTCCTTCTGCTCATCGGTAAGATACCAAGCTGCACGGTGTGATGGAAGGTCCGGAATGAAGACCCAGCCTACGAACATGTCAGTATTCTCCTACTGAGACAAAGGACGAGCCATACCGAAGAGTGCCACCGGGATAGTCATCACTGAAACGATGATGAATATCCACTTCCATGCAGGCAGGCCACCTTTACCCGCCAGTGTCTCTAACAGACCGGCTTGAATCCAGCCACCGGACAGTGTCCCCAATTGGCCGAATACGCAGAATACCGCTGCCCGCATTCCGAGCTCCGACTTTTTGTACCACGAGGCTAGGATAAATTGTGCACCAACGCTATTCAAAGTTAGTGTCGGCCAGCTGAATCACATGCAAAGTAGATTAGGCGATTACTATGCGATGGCCGAGAACCCTCCTTCGATCGCATTCAACAAAATGACCTGCCAGGCCCGAGTCATCTTGTACGTGATTAAGGTCAAGACACTCCAAGTAACATTGGCAGTAACAAAGACATATTTCGGTCGCACCACTGTGAGAAGGCTTGTACCGGGCATTTGGCAGACAGCATAGACTACCAGGTACGCGGTGCTCATGTAGTTGTATTCTTTCCCCTCGAACCCGAGGGCCTCTCGCATACCGCTGATGTAGGCCGAGGAATAGCTAGACCGTGTCACACCAAAAAGGAACCAAATAAGGGAAAAATAAGGGAGCAGAGTAACATCCAGCTTGGCAAGCAGAGCCCGATCCTTTGGATCCTGACCCCAAAGCCAGGTCGCAAGTCTGGTCATGAAGGCCATGTTGACCAGCGCTTATTGGGCTGAGGAGGATCGATACTATCACTTGGAAGTAGTATGGCTATGCCTTATGCTAACATGAGCGTAAGTTCTGAGACGATGAGAATTGTAATGTGCCAGATATTCTGCCGCTTGTCACACAGGCGTCAGCTAGGAGATATCCCCAAAGCCCCGACAGCAGAAGCACCAGAAAGCAAAATGAAGCCTTATCTTGCAGAAACAAGAGATGCTTGATGAATTAGCAGGTTAGATCTCGGCGATGGTGAAAGACCGCCTGTGAATGGTGAGATCTCCTGCCGATAAGCAAAAGAAGGATGATGTGATCGTCGGTGAGGGGCACCAGAAATCCTGCAGTCGGCCCGCGTGACTTTAGTGAATGTCTTTGAGGCTCCAAGGCCACGAGAAATATCATTCAGTACAGGTATATCCCTGGATAGAGATGGAATAACATTACACTCAATTCCTCATATGATCGATACCCATAAAGGCTGTCGCGTTAAGCATCGTTCCATCAGCGTCGAGAATCTCTCAATATGGTTTACATACATGTCTTCCGTCCCAGACGGAGCACCATAGCTTCTTTTGCATGCCCAACACAGAACATATCAAACTCGGCCAACTGAACCTCCCGTGCTAATTCTCTCACCATACAAAAACAACGGCTGCTTGTTACTGAACTTTGAAATATCCCCCAGTACCTCGGCAGCTTCAGGGCCTTGGAATGCCTGCTTCGCTGCATGGTCGTTCTCATAGAAGAGCACACATCCGAAGGAGTAAGGAATTCGGTCTTCAGTGACACCCGGACCATACTTCACGACAGTCCAGCCATGTAAGCCATATTTTCTCCAAAGTCGATCGACAAGAGGCAAATGATGCGAGAGATAGTACTCAAGGTCGTACTTTGCATCGGCTTCGTTGGGATAGAGGACGGTCACGGTATACACCATTGTTTCGATGGCTGACTGGCCAAGGACTCATTCAAGTGATGGTATGAATGGAGGCAGATGGTACGCAGGGTTGGTGGAGGCAAAGCACTTCACCGAACGCAAAAAGGGCTCCATTGGTAAAAATATAGGTATGTCCTTGTGAGATGGTTCAATTCGCAACCACTGACCTCAGAATGATCGATGTTTGAGTTCACTGATATTAGCGTTATCAATTGGTAAAACTGTAAACTCTATACGGACGGAAGCTCGTGATGGGGCCTACCCAGGGCCTGGACAAAAGCTGCCTTCTTGGTTCGACTTTCTTGGTTCCGTGGTCATTACTAATAAATGCGGTCCCTTCGCAAAGTATCTAGCAGCCCTAGTTCGTGTCCTAAATCGCCCAAAGATCCGAGATCCGAATGGGATACCATTCCAATAGATCATGCAACAGTTTGCGTTGCAATGTTCCGCAATTGCGGCAACGACCATTCACCGAAACGTTAAAGCTCGCAAAGTGTACCGGATATCATCATGTGTCTCAGTTATCACAGCCATTCAAATCGCAACAAAGCTAAGTCATATCTTTGATTGATAACGCTAGAAGGGATGGGCATTGAGTGCCATCTCATGATTGAATTGTTTGACAACGCAAACGGATGAAGTTAGATGACTGCCTATCAACCGAATAAGCTTAAAACTGGAAGTCCGAATATACTGTGCGTGCAGATAGATTTGTAGCACAGTGCATATTATATGAAGACTCGGTGTCAGCGTTATCCATAATCGCCTGTACAAGAGAATATACTGTACTGTTGAGCCATTACACTCGATATTTGCCGTTTGTGGCTTCGAAATTCTCGACTTGGAAAATTCAATAAAATTTACTTATACTTGCCTTCAAAGTCATATAGAAATGCAAGAGCCCATTGTAGTCACATATACCAAAGGGGAAATAGCGAAGGTGTTACCCAAACAAGGAATCATCTGATCATTCATGTTTCACAAACTACCGTGATAGATCGACCTTATTCGCATAAAATCTCGGAAATAGCCTCCAAGTCCCCAGATTGTTGTTCAAGATGCCTTTGAATTCTCTTCGTCAGTCCTTAAAATACAGTTCTTGAGAGCATAAGTCTTTGTGTAGCAGCATAACCAATCAAGTTTGCGGGCCTTTGTCTGCTTTTAAATAAATCTTTGTATTCATGGTCTTTTTCTTGTAAAAGAGCTCCCAAGAAATGTAGCCATAAATCATGATAGAGGAACATTCCGAAGTAGTAACAGTCTACATCTTGAACAAATGAAAGTAAATATATGGGGTTAGGCGCATGAATGTGTAACAATGGCACGTGCCACTAAATGCTTAGTACGACCAATGTATCTATAGTTCAAACTTCCAATAACATAGGATGATATATCGATATAAGAAAGCATAACAGGGGTGTTATGCATTCCTAGAGTTCTCCTCAGCTTAGAACTAGCCGGAGTCTACCAATTACTTCGACTAAAAACACTCTACCACAAAGGAACTAGGGACAAAAGACATTCTGCTTTGACTCCAGAATATAAAGTCTAATATACTGAGGAGAAGATAAGATAAATAGAAGGATATGACAACGAATTCGCTGAATAGATTTACCTTCGATAGTTACGTGTTATGTTCGATATCGCTTTCTCCATTGCAAGCCGGGATATCTTCCACTCTGCTTCGCCCCCATCCAATCGCCACAACCAACACCAAAATGAATCCATTCGATGAGCTTCCATGTGAGATCCTATCCATCATCATTACGGAAGCCGCAGACTGGGTGGCCCTCGAAAGCCTTTTGCAAGTCTCTCAACGGGTACGAAGACTCTTTGCCGGAGATGGCGAGACCCCCGGGAACCGTGAAGCCATTCATATAGTCAAATCCATGTTGACAACAAATTCAATGATGCATCACGACCTGCACGGCCTGTTTTGCAAGTGTATCGCACTGCGCCAGCCCTCGTTAGCAGTGACTAGTCTCGAGCAGTTCAGGTCAGGGGACTACGATCAGTTGTCTGTGGTCTTCAAGTCATTCATATCGCAAGCTTCGCTACGAGAGATGGTACATGTCGCAGCTAACATCCAACGGCTTGCGTGCGCTTGCTTGACCACGTTCCTGAGCAGGATTCGGGGGATAAAACCGAGGTGCCACATGCTAATTGGCAGTGAAGTACAATACGAGCCGCGCGAAGCAGGCCCTCCCTCGTGGATTGAAGAGTTTCGAGTGTATCGCGCGCTGTGGCATTTCCAGTTCTACTCTGACCTTTTGAATGCGGCTGAACGACTGATGTTTCCGCAGGAAAATCTCGAACTCTTGCGGACGAAACCCCTCATCTGGAATAATCCGTCAGAACCATTGGGGTCTGAACTACTTTCAGTAAATGAATGGCTGTGGGTATGTTCTGTGAGAGAGAAGATTCCTTTACCGATATTCCAGCGGTGAAGAGATTCCCCAGTAGCTATCCAGCATACGTGGATCCTCTCCCTGATCCTTCACAATTGCAGGACGAATATTCGGTCTGGGCCCCTCCAGCTCTTCCTATAGACAAGGGCCCAAAGGACATTTGGCGCCAGGGATCCGGAATGGTCAACAGAAGATCGGGGTCGACCGGATTTTTTTCTTACTGTGTGAATATTGACTTGAGTACACCATCAACACGTCGGATCCACTACTGTTACGCTGATTCACCAATTTACCGCGAGATTGGCTTGAATATATGGGATAGATGGCGGTTATATTGCCTTGGCATCTGGTATGCCTGTGATCCTGATGAGTTCCGATGGGAATACCTAGGTCCAGATGGATCCCTTGTCCCAGAGGGCTGCTTTCCAGAGCATAGCATGATCGACATTAATTACCGGTTGTCCTTCTTTATCAAGCCCAGAGTGCGGGAAAGGGACGAATTTTGTGAGAAATGGTCCAGGGAGAAACACGGTTTACTAGAGACAAGCAGAGCCGAGGAGACAAGCAAAGTCGAGAGGAGGATAAGGCGGAAACGCAAAGCATGCCAAATTGGTCTTGAATTGCCCCGACAAGTTCAAACCAGATATCAGCTTAGACCTCGCTAATTAGTTCAAAACAAAAAATTGTCCGATCTACATAAGACGACAATTCCAGTAAGGATAGAAATCCTGATTCAATAGAATTGTTGTTTTTACATTGATCGACGTCATATCATATTTCCTATAACCCGGCGCATTCAAGTGCGGCCAGTAGAGCACCTGAGATTGAGTGGGCATGCCCTTCAATGAATTCCTCCTTACCATTCCAAATAGGCCAAATTTCATGTTGTGACTAAAGATATAGATCGTAAGTCAGGATAGCCAAGGTTGTCTTTTCGATCTCGGACAACCCAAGATTCGGGGCCACCGGCGAAGCAACACTGGGCGATCCGGGCTCAACGTGAAGGAAAAGCATGGAATACTCTTGATCGCAATAGAAGCCCAGTCAAGCTTCCCAAAGGAATACAGGCAACTCTGCACTGTACCACCAAATGCGATCCTGCTACTCAAAAAGTTGAGAAAATTTTTTCGAGCGGAACGGCCGTCGCAATTCCACCCAGCTCGGTGAATCCGGTCGGTATAAAAAGCCTCATCAAAGTTGCTCCCCCTGTTTCAGGAAACTACGATGTAAAATTGGATTTGATATCGGCCTGGAAGGTACGCGTGTGCGGAATCAGTGAGCAATACTTTCCAAATTTCAGTAGGTCGCCTGAGGCAAAGTGGATGTATGGAAGGACTTCACGGCATAATTAGAGGGTTTCCTCAGCAGAGTACTTCGTGAAGCTTGGAAATGAGCTATGTAATATTGTGGAAGTCTTGCCGGAGTTATTCGCTCGAAGAAGGAGACCAATCACGGCCGCTTGCTAAGTTGCGGAAAAGAATCCCCTAAACTAATGATGGGGTTGGTTCAGCTGTGACAGCGCTCAGTACAGGAGTGGGTCTCTCTGAGGTGAAAAAGTAAACGACGAAGTAGACTTCATGAAACAAGGAAGAAATGAGAAGGAGAAGAGCCAGACCGTTGCCGAATGGGAGCTTCGAAGACCGGTATGTATTACAATGACGAAGTCACCATTTACGTCTACATGAGTGTTGCAACAGAATACCTTGGCTTTCCTTCTGTTCTCATATAGTCCCACCCAGTTATATACCGTTATATTATGAACATTAGATCCAAGTCACTCACAAGCAATCAAATTCCGGTATAAATTGAGACTAATAGTTGCCCTGTTAGGCGAGTTCCGGGGTTAAGGCTTTTCACACTGACATATCTCGCCTCTCATGAGTGTATCGCGAATTGTATTCCACAATCGCCTACATGTTTCGGGTATTCACGATCCAGGACAATGAGACAAATCAAGCCCTCCGCGATGGATGTCCAAGCTTCTTTATTTCTACTTTCATATGGCTACATCCTTCTGAAAAATAGGGTGTCCCCGTTCAAAGGTCGGGGTTTAACTAATGCAGATAACCATTTTCACATGAATTCCTCCTATGCCATGGAGATAAGTGTATACTATCATGCTCTATTTTCACTGTAGTAAGGTCTACCACTTTGGCTTGTAGTAGCCTCGCTATAAGAAAATAGTCGCTTTTTCTTCTCTATCAAGGGCTTCGCCTCGCCAGAACACTTTTTTGAATCACCCCAAAAAGATCCCTATAATCACTATCATACAAACTGCTGTACCTTTCTCAGATCAGCACACATCATGTCGGTCGTTCGCCCCAATGCCAAGTCTCACAAAGACCTAATCAAGTGCCTGGAGAAGAAACAGGCTATCATGGAACGTCTGGCGGAAATCAAAGAAAGAGTGACAAACCTACCGTCGTCCTGCTTGAGTGAAGCATTTCAGGAGCATATCGGTATCGTGCTTACATATTATGATCTTAGGGACCATTTTGGTACCAGCGACAAAGTGTACTTTATACCATACGCAGGACGCCTCTTCCCCACCATTCCGTGGGACGAAGCAAAGCTATTTGACTTTGATCCCAGCCCACGAAGAGAGACATATCACATCCATAGAAATTTGGACAAAATACTGGCCTATCTTACGCCGATTAAGGAAATAT